TAATTCTGCTTTTTCAAGTCTATAAAGCACCACGTTTATAGATGTTTATAGATTGTTAAATACAAAAGTACCCAAGGTACCAAATAAAAAATGGCAAGTAAAATTGCATGATTATAGATCGTTGAAATTATAGACTGTTAAATACAAAAGTACCCAAGGTTCCAAATAAAAAATTGCACACAAAATTGCATGATTATAGATCGTTGAAATTATAGATTGTTAAATGCAAAAGTACCCAAGGTTCCAAATAAAAAATTGCAAGTAAAATTGCATGATTCAAAAATTATTCCCTTTACCATTCTACTAATTCACCTTATCAATATTTCCCTTCAGAAACCATAGTAGCGAATTGCACTGATTGCCATAGGCGCACATTAATCCTGAAAACTAATCACCGCTTTCAAATCAATCTTACGCAAACAGCGGGTTAGAATTGCACGCGAGTGCGTGGTCCATCAGCACATTCGATATTAATCCTGCAACAGCCGCGATTTCTGATGCATCCAAAATACGCGGTTCTCGAAGCAAAGTATGAAAACAATGAAATCGGCAATTGCTATGAAAAGAGAGTAAAAGGTAACCGGTAGGAAAACACAGGGCCTACGAAGTGATTCATAACACGAGCGTCGCATAAATTGCTGGTGATATGTTGGCGCGCAATTAGGGTTTGCTAAATCGGCATTACTAATTAGATTTGGCGTACCGAGCTTGGCTGGCCGACCGAGCCGCCTCCTCGTTGTGCGTATAATTGATTCGAGTTTCAAACTAATCTATACCCACCAGGTCGCCTCTCGATGGTGATCGATAATCGTTCGCGAATGCTGCGGCCCCACGCGATCCACCTAAGACCCGTCAACCTTGTTGCGAGCTTGTTTTGCCATTCTGGGAAAATAATCGTGGTGATCTGTTATCTGATCATTGGAGGATTGTTCTTCTTTGGACCAGTTACACTACATGGTTTAATGAGTCGTTCATCAATGAATTAATATTTGCAGAACTTCTATAACTTGTTCATGATTAGGTATCTGATAGAAAGTCAAACATGATGTTACAGAAGGATTGTGCTGATGCTGTTTCATTTTGAACCACTCATCATAATTTGGGTAATGTGTCATCTACTGAGGTGTTAACACAGAGCCTTTGTAAAACTCTGAGAACTCTTGTACCTTGTTCATGATCAGCTGCTTGATACAAAGTCAAACTATGTTACAGAAGGATTGTGCTGATGCTGTTTCATTTTGAACCACTCATCATACTTTGGGTAATGTGTCATTCACTGAGGTGTTAACACAAACCCTTTGTAAAACTCTGAAAACTCTTGTACCTTGTTCATGATCAGCTACATAATACAAAGTCAAACATTATGTTACAGAAGGGTTGTACTGATCTTGTTCCTTTTTGAACCACTCATCTTAGTTTAGGTAATGTGTCATCTACTGAGGTGTTAACACAAAGCCTTTATAAAGCTTGCAAAACTTTTGTACCTTGTTCATAATCTACCTCATGTGAACTCAAACAGTACCTTACAGAATGATTGAACTAATTTTATTCCTTTTTGAACAACTTGTCCAACATAGTTTAGGTAATGAGTCAATCACCAAGATCTTAACATGAACCCTGTATAAAACTGTTGTACCTTGTTCATAATCATTTACCTCATATGAAGTCATTGTCTTAGAGATTGACATTTTTGAACAACTTGCCCATAGTGTAGCTAATGAGTCATCGAAGTATTAACACAATTTACATTGCAGTAACTATTTTGTTAAGTAAATAAACGTATCAGTAACTATTTTGTTAAGCAAATAAATGTATCAGTAACTATTTTAAAGCAAATAAATGTATCAGTCTATCGTTCAAAAGAGTTAGCAAAGCACAAACAGGTGATAAATGTCAAAATTCGACATCTGTCGAGTACTTAACGATCTAACAGCGATTACTCATCGATGATTATTCGAAGTGGAGCTAGTCAATTCGACAGACTGGTCAGACACTTTTCTCTGTACATTTCAGTATTATCTGCGCGTCCGTGACGGATAAATTGGTGGATAAAATCGAATGAAGATCAATCCATCGATGATCTGTCATTATGTCAGTCTATGAACTGGATGGATGAACGTTTTAATAGAAACGCTGATTTTCCGTCCGTTTTGTTCGCGGTTATAAAACTCATTAACGAGGTATCGTGACCGACATTACTCGCTCGAATTTCTGGCCGATAATGCGGTTCGCTTGTCTCGTTATTCTGTGTACGTTTGATCGTAAAAACTGCAGACTTTCAACATTTTATGTTCATTGATTTGAGTGGTGGGTTTTCTCTGGAGGGATTGGTACGGAAGTTTCATGGCTCGTTGCTTCTTAATTGTTAAATGAAGATAACGGTCTCGAAAGGTTACTGTTTTGTTAATTATTGACTTAATTCGGGGATCGACTTTTACAGTCGAGAAACAGCTCGTGACAAATTTAAATCGACCATCGTTGCAGCTCCATTTTTCGCTCTATTAACTTCCGTTTGGTCGTTTAATTAAGGAAAATGATTAATCGATGGCGAGTATTCGACGTGTAGTCCCTGAAAAGTTGAAATTTTACCTGTTACCGTGTATAATCGAATCTGTGTAGGAATGTATCGATTTGTCGCGTTATTGGTCATCGTTTACCGAGAACCAACGGGGGAAAAAACTGAAAATTAATCATCACTGCGATTCCGCTTTCAGTTTATTAGTTTCCTTTCGTTAGCCGTATCGGGAAAAAATGATTAATCGTCGGGGGATCTCGATAGCTAATTAATTGGAAGTTTCAGTCCATCGACGTACCTCATTATTCCACGTGACATCATTGAGCTGATATTCGACTTGTCAGTACCAGCGTATTCTCATTTTGATTACTGGATATGAGGACAAATATAGGTTTCGCGATCTGGAAATTTGATAGCTGAAATAATTTATGGATCAATAAAATAGAGTACTATTTTTAGTAAGTCAAGCAAAGCTTTTAACTTGAGAGCTCTTAGTTTTTAAACTTCAATCTGGTTGGTTATCATCCCATAGAAATCATGAATTATCTCGCGGACTAATTCAATTTGCGTCACACGGAAAAGTAATCAAAGTAATGACAGAAGTTAACGATTCGATTAGGTCCGATGTAACGATTAAAACTGCAGCAGGCCAGTTGATTAAATCGTGAGTAGAGCGAAGTGTACATCCAGTAATTGCAAAGTGACTTCTTTCTGCCGAAGCTCCTCCACGTCCACGCCGTAATTAGTTTGTCGAAGTATCGATAATGTAATTCCAGCTTTTAAAATAGCCATCGCGATCATCGTGGGAAAAATAAAAGATAATTTTCTTGCCGAGGTAATCCGAAGCAATCGAATTTGATCGACGAAAACTCTCGATCGATCTGCTCGTTGATGCAAATTATACGATTAAACGACAATTTATCGTATTAATTAACCTCGTCGTAGTTTAGAAAGAAATATTTCATACGTCGGTTATATCAAAGACGTTCCTGCGGGTAATTCAATGTCTTTGATGTGCAACATCCCGAGAGAGCATTTGAAATTTATGATGTTGGTTTCAGCGATCGTTTGACCAATAATAACCACCGAGTGATTTGATCAGGCGTGTGAACCACGGCTCAAAGCGTTCTCAGTGAATACATTTATCGACTCGTTTCTTATTGATATTGACAACCTCGTTCTTGTTACTGTACGATCCGACGTAATTCAATTATTATCAATCCACGATTATCGGCGTTAGATTGATCGAAACTCTCGGTTGATCAAGTGAGAAATAATTCTGTCAATAACTGTTCGATTTGATCAACTTTCGCAGTGTTGAAAGACACTTCATCTGGTACTCAATATATCTAGTGCCATGGTAGTGACTCAATATAAGGATGACAAAAGTTTAGATCACAAAAAATTAATATTAAAATCAAATGAGAAAATAATGCAGCAAGAGTGGGAAACGTCTTTTATACATTGACTAGTAGAATAGGTCAATACATGGTCAGGCATTAAGTAGAAATATGATGTACTGAAGTGTGACTGGTCAGACAAGTAGTATGGGACACTAATGAAATGAATGACATTATAAGAAACTTGTCAGACAGTAGAATAGGTCAATGCATGATCAGGCAATGAGTAGAAGTATTTTCTACTGAAGTATGAATGGTCGGACAAGTAGAATATGTCACTCCTCAGACAAGTAGATTATGTCACCGAACGGACAAGTAGTATTAACCACTGCTACACTCAAGCAAACGAATGACTCTGGTCAGACAAGTAGAATATGTCACTAATCAGACAAGTAGAATATGTCATCGATCAGACAAGTAGTATTAACCACTGCTACACTCAAGCAGACGAATGACACTGGTCAGACAAGTAGTATATATCACTCATCAGACAAGTAGAATATGTCACCGATCAGACAAGTAGCATAAACCACTGCTACGCTCAAGCAAACGACACTGGTCAGACAAGTAGTATATGTCACTGATCAGACAAGTAGTATGAGACCTCCATTAACAAACAAATAATCTACGATCATAAATCTAACAAATACTGCAATTCTGTCAATCTTTCTACGTTCCAAAAGCTGAACACCAAATTTTTGTTCCCTGTTCCAAACAAACGAATTTATATAACACGAATGAGATTTTTTTGAATGTAAACAGCAGAAACATTTTTGCGTTACGATATTACCTTCCGCGAAATAAAAGTTACCATTGTTGCGCTGCCTTTTACGTAATGGACTCTGTGACGACCCATAAGCCGAGCATTCTGTTACGTTTTATTAACACTTTTTCATTTAACGGTGCCCGTATCTTTTTTATGTTATTCGCGCACAGAGATAATACTTTCATTTAACAATACGAGGTTGTTTCAGAGTTGCAACGGTTGTTTAGTTAGACTGCCCGGTGAGGTTGCATAGAAATTGCACATTTTTCAGTGCGTTCATTGAACGAGATTTATTGAATATCGAACAATCGATCTTACAAGAACCATACACAGCTTGTTAAAAATAGTACTTCTCTATTCACAGAATACCACTTTTCTCGTTACATGCTGAGACTCAACCCCTCAAAGAGAACCACTTTTCCCGTTAATTGGAAACCGTATCCAGTACACTCTTCTGACAGGTACGTATGTTAATCTATCAATTATTCCTTTGACAATCTTGCATGCAAACATTGATGAGAACTCGAGGAACAGTCGGATTAATCTCGACCCTCTTCTACGTACGATCCTTTGAAAACTTATTCCGCCATTTCGATTTGCTTTGCTTTTTCGATTAGTACTCTGCGATTCATTAACTTTTTCTGGGCGATTATTGCGCAAGGTTTGAACGCATACTATTCTATCTATACCTAAACTCGAACATAGACCGAAATCGAATTTTCGCCTGCAGATTCTTCGTGTGAAACTTCTGCAGCATCATCGCGCCGTAAAACTTCTGCAAATCGTCGACCTTCCAATGCAGCGAGGCTTCCTTTACGGTCAATGGTAGACAATTCCACGGTGCCCATTCCTCCTCCTTCCGAAATCTCACCAATCTCAACTGATCCAAACGATCATCCTCCGAGATCGCGGACTTCCCGTGCCAAATGTCGTTCACCAAATGATAGACAAGTTTCTCATCAACCACGAACGCCAAACTACTGTAACATCTCATCTTAGTTTCCCTGCGTCTAACATCTCGAAGCAACATCTCGTACTGTCCATATACAACCCGAGGACCCTTAGAGATCCTCATGTACAAGCAATAATTACAACAAGAACGTCGTACAAATTTTTCCTCCGGCAGTAATCTGTTGCAGCTCCTGCAAACGATTTTACGAGCAAATGTAGAGTGTCGGAAGTCTTCGAAGTCGTTCATGAGGGAGTTCCTAGCTAATTCCAGGAAGGCCATCTTCGATCGCTCTCTCAGCCAGTTTAATTTACTCCGGCGAATATTACGAGTGAGAAGACCGATCTCCTGGTCCAGCAAACGTATCAACTCGTCGGACGTCCTGCAAGTGTGGGGCTCAACCTCGTTCCTGAGACGTGACAACGTCTTTATGCGATCCCCGATCGATACGTCCTCCCTGGACAACTCGTCGAACGCGTCCCTGAACCAACGAGCTCGCTGCACCCGAAGGGTATCCACCAAGATCGGTTCGTCACGGTTGTTCTTCCATAGAACAGGCTTCGACAACTCGTCCAGGAACTTCCTGCACGTCCTCTCCTTCCTACTTCGTTTCGCCGTCGTTTTCATCGCGTCGATCGCTCGCAATAGTTCCACCTCCTTCGACAGGATTAGACCGGAAAACGCGATCCTGGCCGGCTCGAACAGCTGCGAGCTCGCCCTCTCTGTTTCATGGATTCGCCAACGGTCCACGAGATTGTACAGCAACTCGAAGTCCGTCCTCGTTCTCGGCCACGTGCGGTTTAGTATCACGAAATCCTGGCTATCGTACCACTCCTCTACTTGATGCTCCTCCGTGTTCCCGACGCGTACCGGAAGTGGCGCGGTTTGCCCACGCCGTAACCTGTAACCAGTGTTCGACGGATGTTTCGACAGGTGTTCGATACGATTTTTGTTCGTTAAGTTTATTGGTGGAAGTTGGGGTACTGGGTTCTGGATGGAGGTACATCGAGGAGATACTGAATTTTGAGATGAAGACTTTAAATTTTTTAATTTTGGAAGTTAGGTGGTCGGAATCTTGAGATGTTGGATTATTTGGAACTATTGTGGTATTCTATTTTATTTAACCCTTTGCACTCGAAGATAAACAAACAGCAACTTTAAAACTTACTAGTTAAAAAGTTAAATGAAATCCTTTGAGGTTATCTCTACTCATAATTTCCACTATTGTTTTACTATATTTGTACATCATACGAGTCATATTATAGAATCAGTATTAAAGAAAATGGCGACTGAGTCACCTCTCGAGCGCAGAGGGTTAATATTTGATATTCTTAGAACAGTGAAAAAATAATATTTCTTTTCGAATGAAATTTCATGGCAATTTCGCTAAAAGTGTACGTTGTGGACTTAACCTCGACTATTCCGAAACTCTGATTAGTCTAATAAACTTAACGCAAAGCTAACGGCTATCAAGCAGGTAAAGTTAGTTGGCAACTTTGTTCCACTCGCAACACAGTGGTGCTTAAAAAATTCCGCGATCAGTATAACTGTGGGTTAAGTTGTCCCATGCTTTGGAGAAATAAAAACTTCGTTTCATTAAGGGCATAATGATGGAACATTCCAACTTCGGCCATGAAGGGGAACATTCGCCAACTTCCACGTTTACTTGAACTTGCATCGTTGTTTCACCTGTAAAACCTCTGTATCTTTACGACGCTGTTCAGGATCCTCTCGTCGACGGGATCCTGGCGAGATCCAGGGGATTGCCGTGAATGACTGCTGGCTTCTAAGAGCCTGTCCCGAACATCGGGAAAGAAATTCACCTGCAACCCCACGTCGCGTTGCATGTCCGTAAATTTGTCGACTGTAAACTCCGTCTGCGCTCTTTTCTCCGCGGTCCTTTCGTTTTTGTCGGTCTGCGTGTACACGTTGTAATAGAGTTTCCCGGTAACTTTGCTCCTCCAGCCGCCCAGAAATGGCCTCGATCTCTCTGTTCGAACGGTCACCGCCATGATGACGGAATCGCACCTACGAGGAAAAAAACTTTGAAAGGATAACCGTACAGAATAATGGTAATGCGGGTAGTAAAAGAAATTACCGTGACACGGTTTAAAGGATTCGCCCCGAGGACCATTCGTTGTTTTACAATTCAGAAGGACTTGGGGATACAAAATTGGCCGACGGTTGGCATCGAGATAAGCTTGTTTTCCACAGAATCGCTGTAGACGAATCTTCGTTAATTATTGCTCTGACCTAGATTTTTTCTTGCTTTTTGTAATTCTGCCAAGCTACGAACTTTTGACGGGGGAGCTTATGCTGGCTGATTAAGGGGTTATTTTTCATATTTTTGAATGTCGGAATGAAAGGTGTAGATACATCAATTTGAAGCTTAAGGTTGTACAATGTGACTGTATAATTATTTTAGGAATATTTGGTATGAACAAGTAGAAACTGGATATTGTTTGATGAATAATAAGAAAGCTGTTAGGTAACCTACTATCTGCATCAATGAAAAATTATTCATTTTATGTCAAGAAAACCAATGAAACATTTATGCAATTATTTTCAGTAAACTTTAAGCTTTAAATTGATGTATCATAAGTGGTATTTAAGAATACTTTTCTGTCATGAATTTTAAACTGAATCTCAATGTTTAAAAATCAACAATGATCCACTTAACGTATGTGCAATGCGAACGCTAACGGAGCACCAGCCATTTTGTATGAAGAATCGTAAAGGTGCATCTACATAGTCATTTTCAGTAGACTTCAAGGTTTAAATTGATGTATCATAAGTGATATTTAAGAATACTTTTCTGTCACGAAATCCTATCAGACATTCTACGTTTCAAAATTCACAGTTCAATGTACGACATCATAAATCTATCATTCTTCATTTTGTTCTAATATTAAACCGAAAATTGTCAGCAAATATTCAGCTCGAGGTATCTCTGGAATTTACACGAGATCCATAATTTAGTGTGCTGGGTAAACGCGACTGTAAATCGTAGTTACAAGTGAATCGCAAACTAACGGTCACGTGATGCAGCGTAAACAAGAGCCGATGACACGACGATCCACGTGGTGCATTGTAAACATAACCACGTGCCATCAGCAGACATGTAGCCCAATGTAAATGCAATCGCGCAACATTAGAAATCACGTAATGTAAACGGAGCATCGTGATGTTGGCAGCCTCATAAAGCAACGGGAACAGAAACCAGCGCGGTGCTAAAGACACCCATGTTCTACTTCTATCATGCTGGTACTATCGGAATTTCATGTGTATGCACCGATCTGAATGAATTTCATTAATCTACGAATCTGTAGTAATTTGGGATTGGTTTTGGGAATGTTGGTATAGGAAAGGCATTCGGAGTTGAAATTTTTGTATTTTAAAATTGTCAAAGTTGAAATTTTTGAATTAGAAAATTTTTTAAGTTGAAATTTTCAGATTCCAAAATTGCCAAAGTTAAAATTTTCAAATTCCCAAATTCCAAAATCCCCAAATTCGAAAACCACCAAATTCCAAAATCCCCAAATTCCAAATTCCTCAAATTCCAAATTCCCCAAATTCCAAATTCCCCAAATTCCAAATTCCCCAAATTCCAAATTCCCCAAATTCCAAATTCCCCAAATTCCAAATTCCCCAAATTCCAAATTCCCCAAATTCCAAATTCCCCAAATTCCAAATTCCCCAAATTCCAAATTCCAAAATCCCCAAATTCCAAATTCCACAAATTCCAAATTCCCCAAATTCCAAATTCCCTAGATCCCAAATTACCCAGATCCCAAATCCCCAAAATTCCAAATTTCCCAGATCCCAAATTCCCCAAATTCCAAATTTCTCCAATTCCGAATTCCCCAAATTCCAAATTTCCTAGATCCCAAATTACCCAAATTCCAAATTCCCTAGATCCCAAATTACCCAGATCCCAAATTCCCCAAATTCCAAATTCCCCCAATCCCAAATTCCCCAAATTCCAAATTCCCCCAGTTCCAAAATCCCCAAATTCCGAATTCCCCAAATTCCAAATTTCCCCAATTCCAAATTCCCCAAATTCCAAATTCCCC